TATTATTATATATTTCTTTTATATACTATATATATATATATATATATATATATATATATATATACGTAAAAGAGCTTAAGTTCCGTGGCCTTAATATAAGAAGAAAGTCTGTTGTTAAATTACAAAGAATAAGTACTCAAAAATACTTAACTATACAAAGTTTTAGTATATACCAAATCCATAAAATATCACAAAAAAATCGTTCTTTTACAACGAAAAAAAAAAAGGTTAACACATTATTATGAAAATATTACTATAAAAATTTAAGATAACCTCATTCAGAAATATTCTTCCAGGTGGACCTCCGACACGAAGAAGAGGTTCCTGGGGCTAAACTTGTAGAGATTGGTATCGATCTCAGCGATTTCTACTTGAGTGTGGAGTGGGACGTTCTGGAAGTCCCCGCCATTCGAAACGAGAAGTATTACACCTGCTGTGAGGAGCCTTACATTGACATCACCTTTAACATCAGCATGCGGCGGAAGACGTTGTTCTACACTGTCAACCTGATCATTCCCTGCATGGGGATTTCGTTCCTCACAGTATTGGTGTTCTATCTTCCTTCGGACAGCGGTCAGAAGGTTACACTGAGTATTTCCATCCTGTTGGCTCTGACACTGTTCTTCCTCCTGCTGGCAGAAATCATTCCTCCAACCTCACTCACTGTCCCATTGTTAGGCAAGTACTTACTGTTCACTATGATACTCGTAACGCTTTCTATAATCGTGACGGTTGTGGTGCTCAATGTTCATTTTCGGACCAGTTCCACTCATCGCATGAATCCCTGGGTGAAGCGTGTCTTCATGCAGATGTTGCCCCGACTTCTACTCATGCGCAGGCCATTGGATTCGGCTCCCGAGCCTCGGAAGGTGATGGTCCGTACCTGTAATGGAACAGAGCTCAGAGACTTCAACTCTCAAAGTGAACCGTACAGTAGAAGGCAAAGCTTTGACGCTGAATTCGGGCCCGATATTAACTACCCGGCGTGCAGAATCCACGGGAGCGGGGGGCACATGCACGCGGCAATGTCCAGTCCCATGACGTCCGAGCAAGCCATGATGCAGGAGCATGAAAGATGTCCAGGAATGCGAAGGTTACACTTCTGTCCAGAATTCGAGAGAGCAATGGAATCAGTACACTATATAGCCGACCATACCAGAAGATACGAAGAGCATATCAGTGTAAGTTCGAAACTAATCTTATTTCCTAATCATTACAAGTGTTGAGGAAGTAGCAATACTATTTCCTCAAGAACATTACTTATAAGCAGCGCGAACTGAGACAAGCGCCAAAATCAAAGAGTTTAAATACTATTTCCTCAAGAACATTGCTTATAAGCAGCGCGAACTGAGACAAGCGCCAAAATCAAGGAGTTTAAGTACTATTTCCTCAAGAACATTACTTATAAGCAGCGCGAACTGAGACAAGCGCCAAAATCAAGGAGTTTAAGTATTATTTCCTCAAGAACATTACTTATAAAAAGGGATTTAAAAAGACTAATCTAAACCTCCTAAGCTGGCTGAACCTCATAAGATAATACATAAGATTTTTACACCGAGGAAGATTACATTGTTAACTCAGTGCAGGGATTTATAAAGACTAATCTAAACCTCCTAAGCTGGCTGAACCTCATAAGATAATACATAAAATTTTTACACCGAAGAAGAGTACATTGTTAGCTCAGTGCGGGGATTTAAAAAGACTAATCTAAACCTCCTAAGCTGGCTGAACCTCATAAGATAATATTAGAAAGCTTGCCCAACCCACGTGCCATCCAACCATTATAAGTTTTAGTTTTCATGTACCGATTTATTACATTATATTTTTCTAATTAGTTTTTTACATAGTCTATAACTATAATAACTAGTCTAATTAATTCATAATCTACTCAATAGAGTTGGTTTCTTTTTTATCAGAAGTTATTAACTCTGAGCACGTTTCTTTCGTGGCTGGAGAATAAATAGAAAAGATAAATAATTAGACATACTTTTATAGGGAGTTTTTTTTTCAATCGAAGGTTAGCAACGTGTAAAAAAAAAAAACGTTCGTATTTATTGTGTTCATAACACTTGAATTTCATCAGTACCGAAAAGGATTGGATTTGGTTAGATTCGCCTAATCTGTTGTTGTCTAACTTTGGAAACTGATACTCTGAAAACACGTATTTGTCAGATACCTTAAGTACAGGTTTATAGAGCTAACTAGGTTATTGTGTTCATAACACTTGAATTTCATCATTACCGAAAAGGAGTGGATTTGGTTAGATTCGCCTAATCTGTTGTTGTCTAACTTTGGAAACTGATACTCTGAAAACACGTATTTGTCAGATACCTTAAGTACGGGTTTATAGAGCTAACTAGGTTGAAATCTTGATTTAAAACCGAAACAGTTAATGTTGTACTGTTTGTTACATTTGACCCTACTCTTTCATTAATCATACTACTCCTCTTAATCAATCTTTTATGGGAAATATGATTTTTCTTCAAGAATACATCCTTTTTAAAATTGACTTTATATAAGTAGAACATCCTCTAAAAGAAGTTAAATGATGTTGAATGACGCTTTTAAAATTAATTTCAGCGATAAAACTTTTACAGCGACTTCATAAGCACAGTCAAATGATTTATTTGAAGGCATTAGTTTTGTTTGAGAGTACGTTCTCACCAACGTCAAGATTTAACCAAGAAACAGATGTTACATTTCAAAACTCGCGAATTTTTGTATAAACTCTGTAACATCATGCCTACCAACAACATCAATAATGGAATGCAGTACATGTTCTAATAAAATCATTTTCCAAATTCCAAAAGACATTTCAAGGCCTGATGGACCAGCATGTTGATTTTGATTTTTTAGTAATTTCTAACTATGAGATCTCCACAATACCCCAATATAACCCGTCGTGTGGTTAAGGTATATTAATGACACTTTCCGGAAAGTGCTTGAATATATATATACATGCAGCAATCTCTAGTGAGACTGCACTTATATGTAGATATTTAATAAATATATCCCGACAAAGCTACGAATTTTAATCTTGACAAAAAAAAAGACAACGTAATATTTTGTTTTATCAGAATGCCAGAAATTTCCGTAACCAACCAAATAACAACATGAAAAATAAAGAAAGTATCCTAACAACTCGGAGACACGAGAATTTCTGATAGACAAGGTAAACTAACCCTAACACTCATAATACTCTCGAGGCACTTTTACACTACAAAAGTCTTCCAAGTGATAGGTATAAGTAACTAATCTTTTCTTCAAAATCATATGATTCATATAATAAACTTTTACGAAATTAGCAGTGATGAATCAAGTGTGTGGACTTATTAAATGCACTCAGTGATGAATCAAATCTGTGGACTTACTAAATGCACTCAGTGATTTATCAAATCTGTGGACTTACTAAATGTACTCAGTAATGAATCAAGTGTGTGGACTTACTAAATGCACTCAGTGATGAATCAAATCTGTGGACTTACTAAATGCACTCAGTGATGAATCAAGTGTGTGGACTTACTAAATGCACTCAGTGATGAATCAAATCTGTGGACTTACTAAATGCACTCAATGATGAGTAAGCTGCCTTGTCACGTAGGTGAAGCAACCTTTAAATGATGTGGCCATGGTTCTAAGTTGGTCGAAATGATGAAATCAAAATATTCCGTATTGGACTTTATAATCAATATCATCATAATTTCATTTAATGCAAAATATTTGTTTTATTTTAATTGTGTTTTAAACTTTGGTATTTAAGAAGTTTCTGCTTTGAGAGTACAGAAAAGTTTTGTTTTTCATACAATTTGTTGTTAGCTTTGTACCGAAAGGCGTTGATGATCTGTTTAAACCAGTTTTACACTTTTTGTAACTGTTAAGTGATGCAATTATTTTCAAGTTTTTTTTTTCTTTTCTTTTTGTTGTTGTTGTTTTTTTACATTCAAATCTAAAATAATTGAAATCCTAGAAGAAAAAAATTACTTATCGTTCTGCAGAAGTGTTCCTTTTGAAAAATATTGAAACTAAGACGTAAACTATGGAGCCTCCTGAAGCCAAACTAATAAATAAACTACAGAACATTTAATGCTGCTCTAGTTGAGCCAAGACAGTGAACACGTATCACGATGATGCCTAAAATGAATTTCTTAAAAAAAAACAAAAAAACCGGAGTTGAAAAGCTTAATGATTGATGTTCAGGGCGGATGAGTGCACACCAGTCTGACGCTGACATTGTCACGCTTGTCGTCAACTCGTAAAGAATGACGCGTGGAAAACTCGGAAATCAGGATCTCTCCACTCTTCCAAACAAAATATTCTGTTTAACTTTAATTCCTGGATCATGTGAAACCCGTTTGATTGTCTAAATTGACTTAAATTCATATTTTATTGTTATTTACTATTACTGATGCAAAAAATATTATTCACTCCACCTGCTTCCTATTCTATCTTTTGAAACGATATCTTAAGTTAAATAGCCGTATCTGACGACTCATATCCAGGCTAAAGATATTTATTTTAAACAATTCTAAATGACAATCTACAAACATTTATAATTTCTTTCAATGTCTTGCAAAAGGTGGAATATAAAAGGTTTGATATAATAAAAAAAAAAATTTGTACCGGGGTAGACTTGTGTTACAATGTTGTGATATGGACGAAATGTGATTATCTCATTTCGATGAAGTTTTCCACTTAGAACTATTGCTACCATAGGTAGAAACACGTGCTAGCTTTGTCCTTTCAATGTTATGTGTAATTTGTACAGATTTATCCAACACGTTTTTAACTACAATAAACCTAAGATTTGTGATAAAAATCAAAATAACTGTGTATGTTGTTGTTTTTTTTTCCTAAATTTCTATTAATTTGTCCATTGCGAATTCAAAATGGGGGGCATGTAAAATTAGAATTTCAGATCTAACTTTTGTCTCCCATAAGTTACTAACGAAGAGGACTTTCGTTTAATATCAGAATTCGTCAGTTGGGTTTTTAAACTGTAGCATTTGTAATTTGGTTCATTGTTTAAAAATTGGCAGTATTACATATTGTACTCTCTTAAGGCGTACATTGTTATAGTTTCTTAAATCTTTTATCCTATTTTTTTCCCTATTTTCATGCATACATTACAAATTTTTCCTATAATATTTTCAAAGAATTGTGTAAGAAATGAGGCTATATAGGTATATATGAATGTGTTTGTGGTTTAAACACTAATTTTCATTATATACGCCAATTACTACTTTCCTGCTATAACCTATGCTTAAGTCGTATATTTTCCCCCTCACTTATCATATTGACGTTTGATCTTTTTCGTTAAGCACAGATTAGAAACTCTGTTTGCTGATAAAACTGAACTGCAATTATAATACCCGGATGTGATATTTCTTCCACCAGGTGAGGGAAGACTGGAAGTACGTGGCGATGGTTCTTGACCGGCTGTTCCTCTGGATATTTACCATCGCTGTCCTTGTGGGAACGTGTGGAATTATCTTACACGCACCAACCCTCTACGACAACCGAGAACCCGTCGATGTGAAACTCTCCGAAGTTGCCATGGCAACGAGACATCATCACCTACCCCGGTAATAAAGATATGACGAGTCACTCCAATTGAATATCGACAGGAAGCACTTAGGCCTTTGTTGAAGACAAGAAGCATCCAGAAAATATATGGCTAAATGACATAAGCAAAATATTGAATTGTAACGACAAGTGTCAGCTGACGACTCCAAACAAGATACATACGACAATGCTCAAAAAGTATATTTTGGTAACTATGGTCCGTGTAAAGAACTAGAGTGAGTTTCTTGGGTATTAAGAAGTTTAGTTTTGAATACAAGGTTTTGCTGAAGTGAGTGTGTTATGATAATAGATAAAGTACAGAATTTACAAAATCTGTGTGTTATGAAGGTAGGCAAAGCACAGAATTGACAAAATTTTTGTGTTGATGGTTGTATTTTTTTTTCGTGTTATCTAGAAGTAGTAGTACTTGAACAATGTATTCCTGTATAAAAATTCTAAAGGCATTGAAGCTAGTCTTAACAACCATTACTTAGTATATTCAAATCTTTTGTCAGGATATTACAGTTCTGTGGTTCTATACACTTAAATTTTTTTGTGCGTGTATTACTTGTTTACAAAGATCGACGTGAAAAGATAACGATATTAAAGACTGATGTGTTCTATACGAATAGTGGCATTTACAATTGTAAAATTTAGAAAACTGTACAAAATATGTTATTCAATTTAATGCTTTGCTTTTCCACAGAAGAGCACCATCGTCTTAAGAACAAAACTCCTAAGGCTCCATCTAGTAGTGAGAAAATAAAATAAAAAAAAATGTAATGATGCGTTAAAGGATAATTTGTATTCACTCTTTGTTTCTTAATAAAAATGCAAAATAATCTCAAAGTATTGAAAATTTTTATTCCTATTTTAGGATAACACAGAATTAGCATATTAGGTATTACATTTGTGAAAATCTAAGAATTAAGTGTAGATTAACAGTTATATATAAAATAAACACATTTAAATATATTATTTGATATTCTGTAATAAAAGTTCAATACCATAGTAGCTTTCTGCGTTCATAATTCTATTTAAAGATAGCCAAAAATTATCGTAGGTAATTAATACTTATAGTGTATTTAACGAAAATTCTGTAAACTTTAGATGCACACAATTAATTTTTATTAGAGGTTTTCTATTATTTAGGTGCATACCATTAAATGTCAAATGATTCTCAGTTTGTATTGTGACTTTATTGACTCAGCTAAGCCTAAATACGTTATAAGTACGTACTGATTTTCATTATATTGGTAAGTTTCGACTTGAATGTGATTAAAAGTTTGAAAGCTGTTCAGTATAATTTTGAAAATCAAAAGGCCTTAATCGGGCCTATCATAATATTTCAGCAAAAATACGGCTCACCCTTTCGAAAATAATTTTAACACATTTTACAATTTTATACTGTCTAGTCAAGTTTTCGAAATTAAAGTAACGTGGCCAGCTCTAAACGTACAACAGACTTCGCTATTATTTCAATATCTCGATGTTGTTGTTATTTTCTAGCTAAAAATAAACTGAAAAGAAATTTGGAATTTCTGTGATGAACAATCACAGTTTCTATTCTTTGAAAAACAAAACGCGAAACCTAAATTTTCATCAGATGAATAGAAAAATGAATAAATTAATCTATGTAACATCCAGCTGTAATCAAAGTGCTCTCTGTTAGGCTGAGAATCTTACACATTTTTATATGTCCTGTAAATCAGTGGTTCTCGGAGTGTGGTTGTCGAACCACTAGTGGTCCGCGAGGGTCCTCCGGGTGGTTCGCAAGCTAGTCCAAAGTACAAGTCACTGACGCGCAACGCCACGGCCGAGTCCATAACATACGAGAGAACAGGTTATCAAACGAAAGCGGGTAGGGTAGGACCAGTAGGTGACCCGAGGAGGTATTTTGCTCTGCCGGAGGGGTCAGGGGCGAAATAGTTTTAGAACCACTGCTGTAAATCATTGAGTTTATCATAACGTTCATCGGGTTTCGAATGCGACTCATGGGGAAAAAGGGAAGGAACTAATTTCTGATTCACAAAAAAACTTGGTGGAAACTTCTTTATATACCGTGAGAACACGCAATAGTAGTGGTCCATGGATTATTTTAAGGTGAGGTAGGCAACTGTCCAGGACCGTGAGTACACGCAATAGTAATGGTCCATGGATTATTTTAAGGCGAGGTAGGCAACTGTCCAGGATCGTGAGTACACGCAATAGTAATGGTCCCTGGATTATTTTAAGGCGAGGTAGGCAACTGTCCAGGACCGTGAGAACACGCAATAGTAATGGTCCATGGATTATTTTAAGGCGAGGTAGGCAACTGTCCAGGACCGTGAGAACACGCAATAGTAATGGTCCATGGATTATTTTAAGGCGAGGTAGGCAACTGTCCA